GCCGGGCCCCCGGGGGAGGGCACATCGCACCCTGGAGCTCCGGGAACTGCAATTCCGCGCTCCAGGGCAACGACTCCTAAAGAAGCTTGGGGGGCAGTTTTTCAGGAGCCCTTCGATGTCTCTCCCCTCCCCCTCCCCGGACTTCCTGTTCATTTCACGGCTTGGCAGGAAGTGTAGGACTGCAGCATTTCGCTTCTGATTTCACGGGAAGCCCAGCTGAGACCTTGAGTCTACCTAGATGTGATCCGGTCAGGGCTGTGGAAGGCAGTTTAAAGTGGGGGCCAATATAATTTGTTTCTCTACCTGACTCTTCTTTTCCTCTCTGAGGTACCCCATCTGCCAGCATCTTGGTCTGCCAGCCCATCCCTTCCAAATTTGAATGAGTGATGCTGTTGTCTGGCATGTGAGTTTATGGCACTTCTGTTTGTCTCACCTACTCTTCCATCAAAACATTGGAGTGGTTGGGCTAGATTTGAGTGGTGGCAGTATGACTCTGGTGGAAACCTGAGTGCTATGTGCCAGGTGGGAATGCCATTCACTCCGATTGGTTCAGCTGCCTGGCTGTCATGACAGATGACTGTTCTGAGCAGTGTTGTAACTTGGAGTGTGTGGTCACACTACTACTAAGGTTTGGCCCTGTCAAAAAGTGGTGCTCTCCCCTGCCTACCCTCATGGCTCCTGCTCTGCTGACTATCATTCTAGTTATAAACTTTAATGCTCATTCTTTCTGCCTTTAGGGAGTCTTTCTTACCATGTTTTTTAAAATCAGTTATTACTGAGGACAGAGAGAATACAGAGGGGTAACTGAAATAATGGTTTCTGGTGTTCAGGTTCATTAGCTTTGTGCCAGTGGGCACTTCTGTAATGTTTTATGTTTGTTCATGTCCTAACAGAAAAGCAAAACTCTTAAGTTTACTGTTTGTCATGTTAGGCCCATAATCTGTTGTAACTTGATTACTGTAGCTCACTGGTTCTCTTGCTATGGGTTGAAACTCCATTTTAACAGGGTCACCAAAGTTGGCATTTGACTTACTGTGGCCCAAGCCTGAAGCCAAAGCCTGAGCCCTAGGTGGCAGGGCTTAGATTCTAGGCCTGGGACAGAAAACCTTGGGCTTTGTGGCAGGCCTTGGGTGGGCTCAGGTTTCACTTCTGCCCCCCTTCTGCCCTCCTGTCATCTTGTCAGAAGGAGGTTTGGGTACAATGAAGTCTGAGAACCTCTGCAAGTGTATAGCTCATCAAATCAATTTTGACAATGCTGGGAAGCAAACTTTTGATTACTTAAATAGTTCTAGAAAGAAATTTACATAATCTGAAATAAAAATGTGATTTGTTTGAAACAAATGCACACCTAATTTATGTAATAAGTAATACATCTGTTTAAATTTATGCAATAGTTCCAGTTCAAGAGTTTGTAACATCCTTATTTAGGCAAATCTCCCATTTATTTTAATAGGAATTTCTAAAGAAAGGTGGTAGGACTTGTCTCCAAACCTTTAGATATATGGACTTTCTAAAAATACTGTAAAATAAAATTTCACTCTCCTACTTGTTTTAAGAGAGACTCTAAGGCCATGTGTACACTACCAGTTATGCCAACAAAACATATATTGCTCAGTGGTGTGAAAAACCCCACTGCAAGTGACATGTTATGCCGGCATAAGTGGCAGTACATATTTTTTGTGCTAACATAGTTCCTGCTGTTTGGTGGGGGTGGTTTAATTATGTGGACAGGAGAATGCTCTCCCCTTGGCATTGAGTGGTTATATCACAGATCTGACTGCGGTGCAGATTTGTCAATACAACTCTGCCACAGTAAGCTCTCTAGTTCAATCAGCCTAAGTTGTTGAACGTATCTTAGATCACATTTTCTAATGTTTGAACTTTACTTTTCTGGTCCTACTCGTTGATTTAAATTCTGGCATTATTGGACAGACTTGTTCAAATTTGTCTTCACTCCTATTTAAAATACCAAAGATTCTATTCTTAAATCTATTCTGATCCTTGTAATTTAAATTCACTTTTACAGTGTTTTTAATATTGAAAGAAATGGGCCAAATTGTTTGCGCTTTGAGAAGTTTACATAGTTGCCTTTGCAGTCTTTTGGGAAAGTCATAGTTCAAAGTTTCAAACTTTTCATGATAGCTAGTGTTAATATGTAAGTAACACAAAGTATCTAACTTTGTTTAAAAAACTGTTAGAACTCTTGTTTAGAAATTAGAGATGTAAGCGATTAGTCAACTACCCGATAAGCATATGCTTATTGGGTACTCAAGTAGTGACTTGACTATTTTCTCTCCGCCCCCCTACCCACTCACTGCCTCTATCAGAGAAAGGGAGCAAGTGAGGAGGGATCAGGAGCTGTTGCTGGAGGGAGTCATCTTATAAGCTGGATTCCCCCAGCACCTTCTCCACGTGGGGCTGAGGATGCAGAGGCGCAGTGAGGAAATGGTGCGAGCGAAAACTGAAGCAGCCCCCTCTCATGCCAGTCCTGACTGCTGTGCTTTTGCCTTGTACATTTCAAAGGAACCCTGCTCACCTGGGGGAATGCTTTGGTGCCAGCTTGTGCGGGTTCCCCCATGCCTTTCCCTTTGAAATATACAAGAGCTGTGGGCAAGCCTCGGGCTTTCACGGCCCATGGCTTTTGTACATTTTAAAGGAAGAGACGCAGTGGGATAGTGAGTGCCCCCCTTATCAACTAATTGAAATTTAATATCCCTATTAAAAAAGCTATAGTATCATATGTAGATACAGTTCTGTTTTATTGGAAACAGTGAATCTTGGCTATTCACGTCAACCAAGCATAAGTCTTTGCTGAAATACCTTTCAATGTTTCTTTAAAAATATCAGATTTCTATTAATCTTCTGAAAACAGTTTTTATTTAGCTTTGTGTTCTGCGGTACTTGCATCTCAAATTGTTTTTTTAAGTTTATCCTGTACAGACTAACTAAACATGTAGATGGTAGGTATCATGAGCTTTTGTCGGCATAGCCCACTTCTTCAGATGACCGGTCATCTGAAGAAGTGGGCTATGCCGACAAAAGCTCATGATACCTACCATCTACATGTTTAGTTAGTCTGTACAGGATAAACTTAAAAAAACAACAAATAGTCTGGTAACACTTTAAAGACTAACTCGGCTACCCTTCCAAATAATGTTATACTATTTAGGCTGATTATATAGAAGTGAAATTGCTAGTCTATTTTCCTTGTCCAAGCTAGTAAAATTCAAAATATAAACCATATAAAAGGTAAAGAGTGAACAAGACTACTTCGGTTTAGTTTTTCCCTGAGGCTTTAGTAAGGACTTTAAAATCTGATAGGTTTTGCAAAGACAAAGATTTTAATAAACTAACATTTGACCTCAGCACTTGACAGCAACCCCTTAACTATTTTAGATAAAAGTAGTAAGGTGGAAATTCCTTCAGAACACTGGTTCTCTACCTATTTACCACTGTTATGTGACTTACAAGATGGAATGTGAGCCATATTCAATACTATTTGTATGGCTCTGAGGATGTTACATGGGCCCGCAGCTATGTGCTGATTGGACTGATTTCCTTACCGTTAGATGTAATTGTTTTTATAGTTCTAAGAGCAGTATCTGGAAAAATGCAATTTTCTCCCCTTTTCCAGGGCAACTGTTCTCTGAGATCTCCTTATTACAAATCTAGAGTTCATTTTACGAGCTTGAAATAAAGTTTTGTGTGGCTCAGGATTTTCACTTGATTTGGATTCAATTAACAAACTACCTTTTTCCCCCTACATGGAGTTTAGATCCATGTAGAAGTAAATTAGTATCATTCAATCAGTAAGATGAAATGTGTTGCTCAACATTGCAGCTATTCCTAACACTATGTGCTTGATCAACCTGTGAGTGCAGGGTTCTTGAACAGTTTAATCTGCATGGTTAATGATTTGGAAGAGTCAGGTGTTCACAAAAGAAACTGATCCAAGAAAGGTTTTATTACTTGGAGACTTGAATGGCTGGTTAACTATGAGACTATAATGCCAGTGTTTTGTTAAGCAAATAATAATGGGGTTAAGGGCAGAAAAGACTGGAAAACAATTGCTGAATAGAAGTAGCAGCATATGAGCAGAAGGATTAAGGTAACAATTCAGATTAATTTTGTACATACATGCACACTTGCATTTTTAAAATTAAAAGCGCCAGCTATCCCTATCTGCTCTTCCAACTAATCATTAGTTGGCTGACTTCTTACAGACCTCACATCAGAGGTGTGTCTTGAGGAGGGTTTTGCCCAGGCCTCCACAAAAATAGTCATTGTAAAAACTGCAGCAAAAAGACTGCATGCTCTGAAGGACTTAATTTGTAAGATAAGAAATGGTACCCTCCTCCCCCCAAAAAAGATACGCAACAGTGAGGCAACTAAGAATAGCATGATAGTCAGGGATCACAGCACAAGCCATATAAATCCTCCTGGATTGTTAAAGAAGGCCTGGAGACACCTGTGGGAAGCTGACAGTCTGGTAGATAAGGCTACCATCAACAATGTAGAGGAGGTGGGAGACATTGAAGTCTGGGTGAACAAAGAATAGAGAATGAATTGTGAATGGTCTTGGTCAAAGCAGCAAGTAACATACCTGCTGTCCACTTTGTTGCTCGGATCACATTTCTTCTGTTAGGTACCCCTGAAGACTAAGATTTATTTGGGTTTTAGCTTTCATGGGCAAAGACCCACTTTGTCTGATTCATGGAATGGAAATTACAAAGGTAGGCATAAATATATACTGTGGTGTCCAACCAGTTCTGAAGCAGTAGCCACTGTAGTGGCTATTGCTATAGAAAACCAGCCACGTTCAGCCCAGCCAAGCCCCACTCAACTGGCCAAATAGCCACATGTTGTCTAGTGTGTTGGACACCATGGTGTCAAGGACCAGTGACCCACTCCCGGCAGTTGATGAGGAAGTGTGAATACCAAGAGAGGGAAAATTGCTTTTGTAGTAGGGATGTTAGATACTGGGTTTTTAGTAATTGGGTGTAGCCACAACAATATTTAGCTGTTACACAGTTACTAAAATGCTCCCCAGGAGTGGGGCTGGCAGCCAATGCGCTCCTGGTCCCACGCCTGAGTAACCCCCTGCCACCCTGCCTCTGTATCAGAGGCAGCAACCTCTGTCCGTATGGGCCCTGAGCTCCCAACAAACAGAGGTTGCTCTGGCATACCACTTTTAAGCTGGCTCTGTGGGAGGCAGTGGAGGTGGGAACAGGTGGCTCCACGGGAACCAGCACACATGGGGAGCTGGCTTTTAGGGTACCAGCTCCTGTTGTTTTGCTGCTTTTGGGCACGTCTAAACTACATTCCTCTTTCAAAAGAGGAATGTAAATGAAGCAAATCGAAAGTGCAAATGAAGCGTGGATTTAAGTATCCCTTGCTTCATTT